GGAGATTTGCCGCGTCAAGTTGTGTTTTCATGCTACTTGAGAATTCAGAATTTGATGGCTTCCTCGATGTGACCGGCGTATACATGGTATAATGAGTGTAAAACAATGGGTAAAAAAAATCGAATTCACTTGTCTCTTTAACGAGTTGTAGTGTGGTGCTAAGACTGGCATGGCTCACTGACGATGACGGTAAAACGTCTGGGAATGAACCAAGTTCACAGTCCGACTGGAAATTATCATGCATATCATGGACTCTGGACAAGATGCGTTCCTCTGTTGTTTCTGATAATATGACCAAGTTGCGAAAACAAGATCAAATAACATCTATACCACATAAAAGGATCGCGATCATACACCATCTTGCTATTTATACCTTCGATCCAAAATATCATGTTCAGATTTAATGTATGCCACTTATCTGGTCCTCGGGCGTAAAATAGTCCTTTTTAGCTGATTTTCTGATCGTCTTAGGGTCCCTTTCAGTACACAATTTTGCATTGATAAAAATGAATGCTAAAAAATAATCGAATATTACGTTCAGAATAATGTTATTTTTATTTCGTATAAAGTAATCTTCGAAACTATCAGTAAATCTTGAATAATTTTAGTCAGACTAGGTCACATAAGATTATAAATGATAATTAAAATTTCTCACAATGACAACCTTTCGATAGAATTTCAGTCTATTTTTATTCAAGGAGTAGAGTAGTTTTGACATCGTCTGTCTCAACAACTTCTCCAGCCCGACCCAGACCTAGGTAGTGCAGCGTAATAACACGTTAATTACTACTCATAACTGTTAAAAATGCCCTTGAGTAATAAGGCAAAAGTAAATTTCAAGGAAGGTCAGACCTCACCCTGGGTTTGTCGAGGAAGCAAGGCTGTATTCGGTATTTTAACCGAATGAATTACTTATCTTCGTTTTTAACTAATTTTCGCAAGTACTACTAGATCACGTATGAGACGTATTCATTCCACTTAGTTTAAGGTGATGATGATGAATACCTCATAGTTATGATGTATTGGTAGAAATAAAAAATAAATAACAGAAAATAAAAATTTAGTCGATTGAAACAGCAAATACAATTTGGCCTTATTGACAATCCCACCATATGAAGAAATATGGGCAAGGCCTGGCCTTCCTTGAAATCCACGCCAATCCTGTGATTCAATGGCACTGATTTAACGATTTTCGAAACTATACGTTGTACTACTAAAGTTCGAGTCCCACTGGGGATGCTGATGAGATGAGGTTGAAACTACCATCTTCCCTGAACAAAAATACTGTTTGGGAAACAAGGCTGTTAAATTTAATGAAAACATGAGGCTTACTCATAGCATTGTGGAGAAATTCAAATTATCATTCCTTCATCACCTCATGCGGCCTAGGGTGATTGGAATGACCCTTAATGACCACATGCAAAGACCATTGATATATTATAACGGATTTTTCTCGCTTCCGTTTACGAATGATTTAGTAACATTTTCATAGAGAACTAGAGTAATTATACCAATTATTTTACCAGGAAATCCGTAACCTATAAATAATAGATTATGCCAATTTACTGACTTGCACTACCGTATTCACAGAATACATTTGCATTAGAAATAGTGGATTGAAACTATACGACTGCAGGCTTTGACAAAAGCTGCTTTGGATCGCCTGAGCATATTGAGAACTTCAATTATCATTATTATGCTGGCCAAACAGGATAAGTAAGCAGAAAGATAAAACTCACCTCGTTAGACACACTAATCTCAATAAAAACGACAGCGGCAAATCAAGAGATAAGACATAAGACAAGAGTAGTAATTAGTAATAATATGGAACAATGAACTAAGAGATAGCAGAATGCACTGATGAAAATATCAATGAAACCAGAATTAAATGGTTGTATGACTCATCCTCATGAAGGCACAGATAAATATTAAGCGGTAATTCTGCAAAATGCCAATCGGAAGCAACTTATGTTTAAATAGACAAATAAATTGGCCAAATGTAAAAACAAGTTGTAAACGGAAAATTAATCTACCTCTAGTGCCAGAGAGTGGAGCTTGACCCGTGACTAGGGAATCTGGAATCCTTGGTAAAGCGAGACCAGGGGTCTCCGTCCAGTTCTTACTTAATTCCTTATCACAAGTTTGGTCGGTAGCCAAAGGAGCCATAACCGCTGAAGCCTCGGGTTTCTTGGTGAAACGAAGTGGAAGCAGTAGACCCGCAGAGGCTGTCGGAGAAGGTAGATGACGTTTCTGGTGTTGGTAAAAATGAATAGCTGAAGTTGGTAAAACTGTAGCACGTGTGTCTAGATGCCTAGAAGCACTGGATGGAGGTAGGGGGCGACCTGGGCTGATACAAGGACTGGATGACAGTTGACAGAAACGTGTCCCTGCTCCTATAGAATCTAAACCAACAATTGTAGTCTCTGATGAGGGCGGAGCTAACGGGGATTCACAAGTGGTGACGCCTATGGATGCTGTCACAGCGGCCTCTGCAGCCGCCATTGCACTGATTTCTAGAAGGCTAGCGGGCTGTTGGACAGTACCAAATCGCCGACGCCGATCAAGAGCCGGTCGAGAACCGGATGACTTAGCTGCGGAAGGCTTTACATCATTAATGGATGATATTCGGAGATGCGGATCAATGGAGTTTGGCAAGTCACAAACTGAATTCTCAAGCCCATTTTGGCCTTGTGAAGAGTGAGATTCAGGCTCTGGCGAAGTGGGCTCTTGCGAATGAGAAGTATCGGATAGAAACTGACCTGGTGCTAAGTTCTCCTGTCGGAAAGAGGGAGTGCCAGAGGACGAAGAAGTCATCAAGGAGGCTTTCGCAGATGCTGCATTAGAGCCCAAATATCTGAAAACAAATAGCAGGCTGGGTAAGGATATTACAACTCTCATATGACATCTGAAAATAACTGCTTGTTTGAACTTTCGTGAGCCTTATTTTAAAAAAGTTGTGCGCCTGATAGTCATTTGTCTTATTAATTCTTAGCCGTATTATTTTGAAAATTAATGTCGTATGACGTATGCCGTAAGAATTCGTAAAACAATTGAAAGAATTGTGATAGTAGAGGATGGAATCTAGGTAAGAAAGATGCATTACTTAAAAGTACATATCAGGCTTAACTTGATTTAGGACTAGCTCTGCATTGGAAAAAGGACATCGATATCACAATTATGAAGTAATTAAAAAAGCTGCGAAGACTGAATTGAGTCCTATGGAAAAAATTCTGATACCCAAATATAATGGATCCAAAAAGTAATCAGCTGAATTATCATCCGAGGGCACATAGAATGAAGCAAAACTAAGGACCACTTTCATATTGATATTGCGTAGCGATGAAAAATAAAGTTCTGGCATTAGTAATTTGATGGGAGGTTATTTTCTTTTAAAAATGGAGTATTTAAGCCCAAAATTAATAGTGGCAGTGTAGCCGAGTGGTTAGCGTGTCAAGTTCCCATCCTGCACTGTCGCGGTTCGACTTCTGCTGAGGGTGTTGATAAGACTGATGCGAAGTCGAAAATGTAGTCCATACTGAATGAGAACAACTTTTGGGAAAGCAAGGCTATTTGAAATTCAATGGAAACGTCAGCTCAACTCATATCATTTGTGGGAAAATTTACTACCAGTCCTTCACGAAATAGGGTGAATACATCTTATATAACTACTATGACAGAGGACTTCGACAAGGTGAGTCCAACTATTCTACCTGACCAATCCATTTCTATACATCGAAAGTAGACTGCGACCATAGTGAGGGCCCTACCATCTTCAATTAAGTTTAATATAACTTTAAAAATTAAAATAAAATCAACTAAAATACAAAATAACACCAGCAGGCCGAAGATAAGTAGACTTTTGTAGGATTTCATTTTCTTGAACTGAAGA